ACCTAAGGATTTTTCAAAGTATAAGAAATTCCAATCCCTGATGCCTTGTTATTTGTTTCTGATCATTAAAACATTTTTAATGAAAACATTTAATGAAACAGTAGCAACAATGGTGAGCTGGAAGATCTGCAAGAAATACCATTTGCCTGCAAGCAAGAACTGGTGGGACCATAAAAAGAGAAAAAATAATAGAAAACGAAGAAACGAAAGTGTCTGGGGCTTTAGAATTCAAACAGACAGGTGTTGCCACATGAGATCTCAGATTTAACAATTGTGGATAAAAAAGACAAAAAGTCTGGATAGTGGACATGGTGATACATGAAGACAGAAGAATAGGACTTTTGGTTTGGCGTCATTGCATTACAGTCGTAGGAAGCAGGGCTCCGTGAACCTAGGCTGAACTCTCCTCATTAGGGGGCCCTTAAAGGGCTAAAGTCACCCTGTAGGGATGATAAAGAAAGGATACCTTGCAGATCGCGGAGAGCTGCTTACTCTCCTATCCAACAATGAAGGAGAGGCGGCCATATGGGCGCTTGTGAAGCTGGGACAACCGAAGAAAGAAATGTGCTGGGGCAGTGTTTGAACAGTGGTTTGGAGCTGGGTGAGATGATTTTCAACTTCTTTACTAGAGATTAAACCCCAAAGAAAAGAAACCCTGGAAAGATATCTCTTCTAAACATTATAAGTGGTGAAAAAATACTTAAAGAAAAATCATCTTGAAAAATCAGACTTGAAAAATAATGAAATTTAAGAAAGGATAAAAATTTTAAAAATACAGGAAGACTGGATTTGAATATTTGATTGGCACACTTTGAAAAGGCATTTTAAAATACTGGAAATATTGGACTGTATATTGGAAAAAGTGAAAGAAAGTATGTGATGGAAAATCAGAACAGTTTTCGGCTTATAGTGGGTGCAATGCTAAAATCTTAGGCAAGGATGCCATCTACTGATGAAAAAAAGAAAATACACTATATTTTTACAAAGCTGAGAAATCCTTGGGATTAATCAGGAATACAGAGTGGAGATAAACAACATCTGGAAGACTCTGTTTTCTGCTGCATATTGTTTGATAATTAATCTTTTCAAGACTGAGGAGGGAAAATCTCTGAGACTTTTGAAGATTGCTAAGTAGAATGGTTCACAAACACTTGGAACTATCACTGAAGTCAAAGAGTTGGTTACGTGACTGATGAAGATAAGGGAAAATCTGGAAGGAGTAAATTGATTGGTGGAGGACTATAAAGAACTACAAATATTGGGCATTTTGAGAAATGATTTTGGGACTGAGTGAAAGCTGTAATCAATAAGCTGGCTTATTGATACTACAGAGAACTAAGAGTTTGGGATTTTGATAGATTTGTGTGTATTTCTTGGAACTATTATGTAAGACAAAATGCTTCAACAGGGAAACACAAGCATAATGCAAGAAGAAATATTATTCATGTTTCGAAGCATGTATGAAACTATGACAAAGAACCATGGGGTGATAAATGCATGATATACACAGTCAGGTCCAGAAATATTGGGACATCGACACAATTCTAACATCTTTGGCTCTATACACCACCACAATGGAGTTGGAATGAAACAAACACAATGTGCGTTAACTGCAGACTGTCAGCTTTAATTTGAGGGTATGTACATCCAACTCAGGTGAACGGTGTAGGACTTACAGCAGTTTGTATATGTGCCTCCCACTTGTTAAGGGACCAAAAGTAATGGGACAATTGGCTTCTCAGCTGTTCCATGGCCAGGTGTGTGATATTCCCTCATTACCCCAATTACAATGTGCAGATAAAAGGCCCAGAGTTCATTTCAAGTGTGCTATTTGCATTTGGAATCTGTTGCTGTCAACTCTCAAGATGAGATCCAAAGAGCTGTCACTATCAGTGAAGCAAGCCATCATTAGGCTGAAGAAACAAAACAAACCCATCAGAGAGCTAGCAAGAACATTAGGCGTGGCCAAAACAACTGTTTGAAACATTCTCAAAAAGAAGGAATGCACTGGTGAGCTCAGCAACACCAAAAGACCTGGGAGACCACGGAAAACAAGTGTGGTGGATGACCGAAGAATTCTTTCCCTGGTGAAGAAAACACCCTTCACAACAGTTGGCCAGATCAAGAACACTCTCCAGGAGGTAGGTGTATGTGTGTCAAAGTCAACAATCAAGAGAAGACTTCACCAGAGTGAATACAGAGGGTTCACCACAAGATGTAAACCATTGGTGAGCCTCAAAAACAGGAAGGCCAGATTAGAGTTTGCCAAACAACATCTAACAAAGCCTTCACAGTTCTGGAACAAGATCCTATGGACAGATGAGACCAAGATCAACTTGTACCAGAGTGATGGGAAGAGAAGAGTATGGAGAAGGAAAGGAATTGCTCATGATCCTAAGCATACCACCTCATCAGTGAAGCATGGTGGTGGTAGTGTCATGGCATGGGCATGTATGGCTGCCAATGGAACTGGTTCTCTTGTATTTATTGATGTGACTGCTGACAAAAGCAGCAGGATGAATTCTGAAGTGTTTCGGGCAATATTATCTGCTCACATTCAGCCAAATGCTGCAGAACTCATTGGACGGCGCTTCACAGTACAGATGGACAATGACCCAAAGCATACTGCAAAAGCAACCAAAGAGTTTTTGAAAGGACGGAAGTGGAATGTTATGCAATGGCCAAGTCAATCACCTGACCTGAATCCCATTGAGCATGCATTTCACTTGCTGAAGACAAAACTGAAGGGAAAATGCCCCAAGAACAAGCAGGAACTGAAGACAGTTGCAGTAGAGGCCTGGCAGAGCATCACCAGGGATGAAACCCAGCGTCTGTGATGTCTATGCGTTCCAGACTTCAGGTTGTGATTGACTGCAAAGGATTTGCAACCAAGTATTAAGAAGGGAAATTTGATTTATGATTATTATTCTGTCCCATTACTTTTGGTCCCTTAACCAGTGGGAGGCACATATGCAAACTGCTGTAAGTCCTACACCGTTCACCTGAGTTGGATGTACATACCCTCAAATTAAAGCTGACAGTCTGCAGTTAACGCACATTGTATTTGTTTCATTCCAACTCCATTGTGGTGGTGTATAGAGCCAAAGATGTTAAAATTGTGTTGATGTCCCAATATTTCTGGACCTGACTGTAGATGTTAGATTAGAAAATGTGCAGCAAATGACAATGGAAAATGAACAGGAAACTCAGATAATGAAGGAGAAAATAGAAACAGTAGAGGAAAGAGAAGAGCAGACAAAACAACAAATGAACCCAAAAGATAAGGAGAAGGTAGAGATAATTACAAGGGAGGAAATAGGCCAAGCTGACAATATATTTAGAGACTCAAAAATAGAATTAGACAGGCAGAAAAACATCCTTGAAGTGAGGATAGGGACGCTGATAGACATAATGAAGATCTGGCAGCGAGAGATAGAGGCAGAGATAGAAGGAACATTTATACCAAACAAGAATGATATATGGAGAAATAAAACATTAAAGGAGTATGGAAAGCAAGCCAAAAAATCAATAAGATTGGCACATTGAAGCAAAAAAGAGATGATGGGTAGAAGTAGAATATCCACCAATATAAGATGTGTGTTACTTGGATTTAGAATAGAGGTAGGAATTAGGAAGAGGGGAAATATTATTATGCATATTCTTATATAATGTTTTAAAATTAGTAGGTAGAGGAAAGGATTAGAAGATGAAAAATGATTGTATTATACACATTTAAATAACATTACTAAGGTTATCATGGCTATTAGCATTAAATAATAAAACATTGAATAATTAAACGATGAGGGATTTTATATATATGGTGGAATAAATATTATAATGTTAACCTTGATTGTAATACATATATTGTTATGACAATGACATGAGTATGCTAATATAATTTTCAAATTTACGAGAACTGAAATAGTAAAATGGATAAGAGAGGAAAAATAGAAATAGAACACCTATTAATATAAGATTTGTATTATTAAGATATGAAACAGAGGCAGAAACTGGAATGGGGAAATAGCACAATATTACTATGAATATTTTTATGTAAGGTGTTAAAATTAGTATACAGATGAAAGTATTAGAAATTGAAATATGATTGTATTATGTACAATGTTATTTATCATAATGGTGTGAGCATGATCAATGTAAGGTTATCAAAGTTGTCAATTTTATTATTATTATTTGGTATCAAAATGAACGATACCCAGAAGCCACACTGTTCATATATTTAATACATATATACATATATACATTAAAAAAACATTTTAAAAAAGACAGAAGAATAGAAGACAAGAACTGGAGACGATAACAGAATACAAAGACCTTCAAATAGAAATAAAACAACTGTAGCAAAAGAAAGCAAAGATAGTACCAATAGTAATAGGCACTTTGGGTGCAATTCCAAAACAATTGGAGCACTACTTGAACACCATCAGCATTTACAAAATCACCATCAATCAATTGCAAAATGCAGCTTTATTCGGAACAGCTTACATCCTGCAGTGATACCTTTAACACCATCTACCTATCCCTTGGGAAGAACTTGGTAAGTGGATAAAAATGCCAAGTCCAGTCCAAACATCTGGCTGATTGTGTGAAGCATAATAATAATCTGTCTGTAAAAAACAGGAAGAACTTGTCTCTGTAGAACTGTGCCAATACAATAATGCCCTCTCATTTCTGATATCCTCAAGATATGTCTGCTGTGATGAAAGATTTGTCCGTAGGAGCTTTCCTAATCTTCTTTGTTCCAAGTCTGTTTGTTTGTTAATTTATTTATTAAATTTATATGAGCATCCATGTCACAGAAAATGACTTTTGGCAGTATACAACAATGTAAAAGTTTGTTGTATTTGTACTGCTATTGACCATATTCTTTTGTCTGTTATAGTGAGCATGATACGTATCTCTCCTTTGGTAATTTATGTCTGAACCGTGGCATCCAACATTGCCATCAATAAAAGAATCATTTATTGGCATTTTTCCTGCAGGTGGCCCAATTATCTCCTCCAAAAACAGCTCTCATGCTTGTCACCATGTTCCTCACTTACTTCATGTGGAAAGTACTGCTGATTGGAAGATTAAATCCAAGGAACAATTGGAGGAGAGCTACATCCCTCCATGTACTCATCCATTCAGGCAGCTTCAGGAGGGACTTGTCTCTGCATCATGTTGCCCACCAGCCCTTCCTACCCAGAAACCCTCAGGTATGTTCTGTGATTCTACCCTTCGATGAATGATATACTGTATGGGAATTGATTTCAGTATCACAAATGAATTGGTCATTTGAGTTATTTAGACATTACATGTAAGAGCTAAATAAACAAATAAGAAATCAGTTTCAAGTGTAGTTTTAATGCTAATCTTGGGTATTTTTTTCTTTCTTAGGGATAGAATGCATGATATCATGACAACTGAACATTTTAATGATACTACTATTAACTTACAAATATGTGCATTCCATCTTTCTTATTCATGAATTTCTTAAGGTGCCAGAGTTAGCTCTTATCTTCTGAACACTATCATGATTCTCTTTTTCATTTTGTTTGCACCCTTTCTTTTTGAATGAATATAGGTGCTGATTTTTTAGAGGAACACATGTTTGAGATTCAAACTCTCTGCCAGCGTCTAGAGAAGTCCATTTATACCAATGACCTTTTGCGGAAACAACTGGAAATATATCTCACCTCAATGGCGAAGAGCAATGGTGCGAGAGAAGCAGAATCATCTGTTATTGGAATGTCAGAGATAATATGCATGTACTGTCATCAGTACCTAGATCTAATCTCCATTTTCATCTATCTCCTAGTTCAACTTAACAGGAAAAAAAATAGAATGGTGTAATGGTGTAAATAAGAAGATTACAATTGGCAACAAGTTTTGATGAACACAAGTTATTAGACATTACTAAAGCACAAGTTATTAATTGTTGTAATTAATTAAAATAAAAAAGTTATTAGATATTTCGAAAGGGTCTGGCCAATGAAGAACAATATTATTTGATGAAGTGATGTGTGGGATTGCCACTTTAACTTCATTTTCATTAAAAAGCAGTGCCTTTGCTGCAAAGATTTAAGTATGGAAACATGTCCAGTCTTTAGTATTTTGAGTTACAGTATATAATTGAGTACAAAAATCTAGTAAAGAAAAAGCTTTCTATTTTGCTCCTACAAGTAAAGTTTTATTATGTCCAAACATTAGGAGGGCAAGTGACTTCTGAATTCTGAGCCTTCTATTCATTAATTTTGTTACTTACTAGCATATCAACTTAGAGTACTTGTAAAATTCAGCTTTTGGAGAGACCGAACATCTAGAAAGCAACATTCTTATGCCAGCAATGCTTCCAGGCAGACAGACCCTGACGTTAGCAAATGAAGACATTGTCCAGCTATTTTGTGTTTTCTTTCCTATTTGAGGCTTTTTTAATTATGAAGGAGAAAAATGGTGAGAAAATGGAATAGAAGATAGTATTTGAATACTTCCATTCTCCTTCTCCTTCCAGTATTAAATGATTTTTACTTGAATCAAAAACTTTTCCTGAGTAACCTCTTATTCCTTTTAGAACAGTTTCTGTTGGATCATGAGGGATCAGTAGAGAATTCTTTGAGAGCTCTTTAATACATCCATATATTATAAGACTTCCTTAATAATTTCATGTATTATAAGATCACCTCAGGTACTTCTCTCAATTCCCAGAGTTGGAGCACCTGCAGAAGGCTCTGCTTGAGTTACATTCAAAACTCCAAGATGGCAAGGTGAAGCTGGAATGGCAGCAGATTGAGCGGCAGCAACTACAGGAACAGATTCAGAGCAAGCAGCAAGATCTTGTGCTGCTTCAAAAGGAGGTCATGACTTTACAGATGAACAATTCTAGGTGAGATAAAGCTGGTGGGAATCTGCTGAAAAAGGGTATAGAAAAGAAGGGTGGACCTTTTTTCTTGACCTGGCTCTTATGGAATTCCATACTAATTATTTGGTCTTGAGATTGAAGGGGCTATATTTTATATTGTAAAGGATTGATACTTCAGATGGGCTAGGAAACACTAATGGACATTCCCAGGGGTGTCTTAGGTTATCTTTAAAATATCACAAGAGCTCTACAGAATTAGGCCATCTGGTTTACCATTTGGTATCACAGTTAGATGCATTTACAAAACTCACTGGACTGGAAGGCCAAAGTTCTCTTCCACTGCTGCTTTTAGTGATGTGCATATTCACAACAAGAACTGATCTGGCAATTAAATAACTAAAAATTTACCGTGGCAGAGGTTTGTTGAGGATCACTGTTCATTCAATCATAGCATTTAATCCATAATACAGTGTCATTAAATTCTTTGAGAATCCAGACAGATTTGTAACTGGCTGACAAACCACACTCAATGTGTAGCCCTTACTGGGACTACATTTACAAGCAGGGGTGGGATTCAGAAATTTCAGCAACCAGTTCTCTGCCTGGTTGCTGGATGGGTGTGGCCATGGTGGGTGTGGCCTACTCAGCCTCCTGCACCATGGGGGGGGCGGCGTTTTTGCCCTCCCCAGAGGCTTTTCTTGAGCCTCGGGGGGGCGAAATGGGCTCCTCTGGGCTTCGGAGGCCCTCCAGAGGCTGGAAATGGGCCCATTTTAGGACTTCTGGAACTTCTGGTAGGCCTGTTTTTCGTTCTCCCAGAGCCTCCGTGCGGGCCCTGCACTTACCTGGCATCCAAAATGGGCCGTGTGGAGACTCCTGGGAGGGGCGGTGGGGGTGGCGTCAGCCAGTCCTTGCAACTACCGGTTCGGTGAAAATTAACATCCGGTTCGCCCAAACTGGTCCGAACCGGCTGAATCCCACCCCTGTTTACAAGGAGGGAAGAGAGCAGTGGTGTACCCCAAGCTTCTGTTTTAGGCTCAGTACTATTCAATTATCTTCATAAATGATTTAGATGAGGAAATAAAAAGGGAACTAATCAAATTTTTTGACAACACTTAAACTGGCAGAAATAACCCCTGAAGATAGGCTCAAGATCCAGATGGACCTCAACATTGGGCCCTATCTAACAAAATTAAATTCAATGTAGATTTTACACTTACGCAAAAAACCCCAAATGTACAGGTACAGATTAGGTGAAACCTGGCTCAACAGCAATAACTGTGAGAAGGATCCTGGGGCTCTAGTGGATAAACACTTAAATATGAGCCAGTAATGTGTGGCAGCAGCTAAAAGAGCCAATGTAATCCTAGGCTGCATTAACAGAGGGATAGAATCAAGAACACATGAAGTATTAGTACCACTTTATAAAGCCTTAGTAACATCTCAGTAAGTATAATGTTTTAGTCACATATTATAGAAAAGAGTACAGAAAAGAACAACAAAGATGAATGGGGGCCTGGAGGCTAAAACATATGAAGAACTATTGCAGGAATTGATTGTATCTAGTCTAATGAAAATAAATACTAGGGGTGACATGATAACAGGGTTTCAATATTTGAGGGGCTGCCACAAAGAAGAGGGGGTCAACCTATTTTCCAAAGCACCAGAAGGCAAGACAAAGAAACACTGGTTGGATAATCAAGGAGAGAAGCAACCTAGAACTAAGGAGAAATTTCCTAACAATGAGAACAATTAACTAGTGGCATGGCTTGCCTTCAGAAGTTGTGAGTGCTCCATCACTCTTTTAAGAAAAGACTGGACAACCACTTGTCTGGAATGATATAGAGCAGGGGTGTCATGTTTGACCTTGGGGGGCCAGGATGGGCGTGGCCAGTTTGACGTTACTTGTGTTGGGGGTGCCTGTAGGCCCAAGCGCTCTGCCAGCGAAAATGGGCTCCCGAGCTCTGTTTTCAGCTGTGATGGTCTCCTGTAACCCTCTGCCAGCAAAAACAGGCTCCCGAGCTCTGTTTTCGGCTGCGACGACCTTCTGCAACCCTCTGCCAGAGAAAATGGAGCTTAGGAGGGCTACCCACAGCCCTCCCAAGCTCCGTTTTCACTGGCAGAAGCACCGCTGGCCAGTCCTTTGCGGTTTACAGGGTGGCCCCGTGGGCCAGGTCTAAGCACCACATGGGCCGGATTCAGTCCCTGAGCCTTGAGTTTGACACCCCTGATATAGAGTCTCCTGCTTGAGCAGGGAGTTGGACTAGAAGACCTCCAAGTTCCCTTCCAACTCTGTTATTCTGATGTTCTGTTATTTTTGTTTTTATTCTTAGATAGTTCTTGAAAGGATTTCTTTAATAGACCCTTTGGTAAAAATTAATTTATCAGCTTATTTCTTCTAAAAACAGTTATTAAAACACTATAAACTCAGGAAAAATAATTGGAAAAAACAGACAAAAGAAAGGAGAAGTGAAATAAAAAATAAGAATAGACTATCATTCATTTTTTGTGGCTTCTATATGAATCGTTTTGATATAGCATTGCTCTCTTTCCACAAGCATCTAAAAGGGGAATGAAGAATATATTTCTATAGGACATTCCTGCAGAAATCCCACAGTTGCTCAGTGAGCTTCTTCTTGGCTGCATGTTTGGGCTTTCTCCATCTTTCTGGCTATATGAACTTTCTAGACCAAAGTGCAGGAGCGAGGAACTTCAAAGGGCAGAAACTATGTGATATAAGGGATACTCACTTATTCTTTGGGTGATGTCATCTAATCTGTCCACAGTTTTGTTGTTAAAAGAAATCCACTGATAACATTATTCAGTTTTGAATAATTTGAGTCAGGTTTGCAGTCTTCCCTTTAGGAATTTATTGCAAGGTTTAATAGAATATCCCATTTGTCTGGGATAGTTTGAGGATTGCTGCCCAGGAAAGAGAGTTGACTAGAAGACCTCCAAATTCTCTTCTAATCTGATGATTCTATCTATGAGGGATTGCAGTCTCTTTCCATGAGACTTCAGTGATATCTTCAGAGTGCAGGGTTGGCAGGACATTAGTATGAGCACTGCAACACTGCAGTATAAACATCTGTTAGTTCAGCCAACAACAGAAACCTCAATTATGACTCTTGTTTGTGGGTGGGGGGATTTTTGCAGGCTTCAACACAGAATGATAATGCTTCAACAGCAGTGTGAAGAAAACAGAGTGCTCTTCCAGACCCAGCAGGCTGAATTATGTGTCTATGAAGCACAGCATGGACCACTGCAAAAGGCAGTCTCCGGTATGTCCTTACTCCTCCCCACTCGAGCTTTGTTACTATACTACAGGATGTTACATTAAAATATTTTAAGATTTCAGATAGCAGCAGATCCAGCTGAAACTTCCTGCACAAATACTATACTTCTTCTTTCTGTGGTTGTAGGAAACAGCAACTGAGTCACTGTTCAGGAGCTATAGTTGCTGATGCCAGAGCAGTCCAGAACTGCAACTGCCAACCTAGGCTGACAGCCTGTTTCTTTTTTTTTTTGTAGGGACGCATAAACTGCTGCTGACAGAAGATGCAAAGAACCAAGGAATTCATGTCATAGGATACCTTCAAGACTATAATACTCTTAAGAAACAGATTTTGGATGCTAAGAGTTGGATCCACCAAATGGCATCACTTCTGCAGTCTGACGTGAAACTACAGGACAACATGGTAACTGGGAAGGTTTGGTTGCTGAGGACAGAGTAGTCTTTCACTGAGTTTTAAATTCCTTAAGGGTTCCTTCTTTCATCACTGGAAATAGTTCTGGCCAATAGTCTGAATATCCAGGATAAATGATAATTTATAATTCATCTCCATATTACTGGGAATGGTGCACTGCTGAGCTCTTTCAAGCAAGGAATGGTAAGCTTCTAACCCAAGACTGAGATAGAACAGCATTTATGAAAAGGTACTTTATGGAGATGAGAGGTGTCACAAGAGATGAGAAAACTATAGTCCCTTGCCAGAGGAAGGAAGGATACATCAAATGCTATGAAGGAAGTCTGTGAGGAAAATAGTACAAGATATTTGCATTAACCAACCTCTCTATTTCCACAGATTTTCTGCCAAGAAAACATCAAGAAATTACTTGTCCATACCAGTACTGTGCATCAGATCTTGGAGAAGTCAACTTCCCTCCTTGCAATGTTTTGGAGAGCATCACCTCCCATGTCTCTCAGCTCAGCTCAAATAAGAGAACACACAAAGGAAAGTATCTTGCTATTACTGCAGAGCAGTTTCTCCCCATTGGAAAATTTGAGGTGACAATTTGATTGGCTTGGATAAATAATAGCTGAAAATCCATGTCAATATTATAGAATTCTAAAAACCTTTCCCAGTCCAGTTTAAATAGTGCTGATTGGGCTTTTCCATATATGACAGTATATTGCAAGCCCCCCCCCCCATGTTAGGATGTTTGGAAGCCAACCATTTTTCCAGCTTGTGAACTATGTACTAACCCTAGAACTGTATCCTGTGATAAGAACATGCCCCTTCGCCTCTATACTCTACAAGATGGTTTATCTCTCTTCCTTTTTTACTTGGAACGCTTTAGCTTTTTAGACAACAGGATGATTTCCAAGTGCCCCTTATTTGTATCCTATTCCATGTTAAAATACTAAAAATTCATAAAGTTTGTTAGGGAGAATTATTAAGGGAATATAAGGGGACAAGGAAATATCATTGTTAAACCGATACCACTTCCCCTATTCTTTAATTTGTAGGGGCGTGGCAGAGATGGCCCTATTTGCCCAATCTATTGCAGCTGACCAGATGTTCCACATTGTTCCATTTAGAGTCTCCCATAATCATTTTGAATGTTTTAGAGTTGCTGAGGCTGAGAAACCCTTCTGTTCTATTGTTGACAAGCTCTATGACAAGAATAGGAAGGCAGTAGTATGGCAGATGGATGTATGAGGAAACAAGAAAAAGGGGATGCAGAAGTCAACAGTAAGACAATAATACAGGATAAAATGGGGATATTGATGGAGATGCAAAAACCAGTGAGAATAGTACATAGAAATATAGTTTAGCAATCACAAAACAGAGAAATTAAAATGGAGAGGTAAAAGAACAAGAATGGATAGCTCTATACATTTTGGCTCTAGATATGCCCATCCTTAACTCCCCACTACCACCATAAATATACTTTTACATTGGCTCAATGACTTCTACATAGCTTACAAATACAGTATTTTAAAAGACTGGGAAGAATTTTAAAATACATTATCTTCATATACGAAATGTTACAGTCCATCTAATCTTCCAGAGGACTCTACACATCTAGGTTACTTGATAAAATATAAGCTCCTTTCTTTTTAAAATAATATGCAATTATTGTAGTCATCCTAAGAGATAAAATATTTGTTTTCACAGGATCAGACAGTAGCTGAAGAAATCCAAATACTTAGAGCCAAGTTGGCTGAGCAAGAGAATCATATGCAGAGTGCTAATCATATTAAAGGAAGTATGGAGAACTTCATTCTCACTCACTGTAAGTGTCCTCTTTCATGGAATGGATAGGACCAATGTCCTGTTTCTGGTAGTCAAGCATCCCATGAGCATAACTCTAGAGCATTAATGGGTCTGTGTGTGTGTCACAATCTCTCCCCACTACATTTTATTTTCTGCATCTCAATCCATTCTTGAATGAGTTTGAGGCACTGAATATGTAGATGAGGGGGAAGAGTGACATATTTAACTTGCAAGTTGATGGTAGTTGCTCCTGCAGGATCTTGGGAATTTTGTGTTGGAAGGAGTGATATTCTCCTAGAATTTTTCAAGTGTCAAATGCCCAATAAGCTTTGGAAACCTTTTCTACATGCCACTGAAATGGAACTGGAAATACCTGTCTCAATCTACTCCTTGATGAAAAGGAAGAAAGTTAAATCTGCTAATGAAAGTTAGAGTTATAAATTAGACAAACGGGCTAAATAATCCTCTTTCCAAAATGACAATGGCTACATATTTTTAAGACAAAATTATTCATCTTCATTTGCTAAGTCTATATATCAGAAAGAAACATTTCACAATGGACTTGCCAAGTTAGGCAATTAACACAGAGATGAGTCGGGGACAACAGAAACTAATTCAAGTTATGGTTGACACTTTCTTTGCTACAGTGACTGGAACATACAACGTGCTGAAGAAAGCAAGAATCAACCTGGAGGTATGTTCACTTTCATCTCTCCTTCATAAGATGCTGGTATTCCAAGACTGAGGATGGAGAGAAGGAAAGCTGTTAGTTTCCCGGTCCAGGAAGAGGAAGCCTCCAAGTTATCAAGCAAATTGTCCCACTAATATGCAAAGATCTTAATTAAGGCATATATGAATAATAGATAATCCGTTTTGTGCTTCCCATTCTTGTATTTTACCTAGATTTTTTTACTTTTTATCTAGCAAGATATGGGCTTTTACAAAGTCGAGCTTAATATGCTAATATTGATTTCAAGGTGAATGTCTTCAGCAATTGATACTGTTATACAAATGCCTCAATCTTGATGCGATAAATAGGCATCCTGCTTTTCTGTTCATAGAGCCATCTTTTGGTCTATATTTTTGTGGTCAGAGCATTAAATTATAACCAAGGGTATTAGCATGTGTTAAAATAACTGCTGTGAATGCTTCAGGGTGGGAAGAGGGGTATTAGAAAACAAAGCCTAGTAGAAATGCTTGCATCTCTTCTTTATATCATTTAATTACAGGGGATATCTCAGCAGCCTAAATCCATTTCTTCCATTGGCCATTGAAGAAACGGATTCATCCACACAGTCAGAAATATGGAGAAAGAAAAATAGATCCAACATTCACTCCTAATCCATCTAAGCTTTTTCAAATCATCTCTTCATATGCTCTGCTGCTGGACTCAGTGGAAAATTTATTTGGAAATGCTCCAGACATTAGTGCAATATAATAACTGGACTAAAGTTATGTATATGGAGTGTACAAATACACACAGAGACTATAGCCAAAATGCTATTGCAAGAGAAAAGGATGCTGTAAGAATGGCACCCTCAGAGAGGTGTCCTTGTCTTAGTATTTGATTTTTAGAGTATGGTGCAAGAATCTGCTTATGCTATAGGATTAATGATCATCAATTATCATTACTATGGTTGATTGTACAATCAGCCAGATGTTCAGATTGAATTTGGCAGTTTCTTCCACCTATCAAGCCCTACCCAAGGACAAGGAAATCAGATGTAATTCAGTGGTGAAATCTGAACCGGTTTAGTACCGGTTCGGTGGCTGCGCGCTGCGCATGTGCAAGCACAGTGCGCACCACACACACCAAAAGGGGGCATGGGGTAAGTAGAACAGTGCGTGGGGGGGGTGATCAGCTGTGGCGCGCAATTTTTTTTTACTTTTAAAAACATTTTTCGGCTGAATAGGTTGTTAAAAAAATGCTTTTAAAAGTAAAAAAAAGTAAGGTAAAAAAGGCTCTGACGATCAGGCAGCTCAGCTGGGATCGTCAGAGCCTCTTTTTTTTTTTTAACCTTTTAAAAGCATTTTTTAAAAGAACCGGCAAGCAGGCGACCGGGCGATTGGGTGGGCATGGATTTTTGCTGCCGGTTCTCCAAACCATCTGCTGCCATCGCTACCAGATCAGTCAATCCGGTCTGAACCAGGAGCATTTCACCCGATGTAATTGTTTCATGGTGTTAAAAGTTATCATTGCAGGATGGATGTACGCTCTTCCCAGTAAAGTTGCCTTTTGCAATTGAGTAATGGTGATTTTGTCAGTGCTGATGGTATAGAAGTGGTGCTCCAGGTGTTTGGGATTGCACCTAATTATTGTAATTACCTTGCTTCAAAGGAATGTGACCTTGATGTATTCTTGACAAGGGAGACCTTGTCAGCCTGACAATAAGATGGATTTATTTGATGCATTCTTTTGGATTATCTGAATTCCTACATTTAAAAAACAACAACCCTATCTGCAATTTACAGGTGATGGAAATTGGCTCATAAATGTCATCATTTTTTAGTTATTCTCAGTATAAACAGGCCTGTACTGCCTTCTAAAGAAAGCAGCTTTTCATATTATTGCGAACACTGCCATTCTCTTGCCATTTTAAGAGACTTTCAATCTGAGTTTTAGGCCTGAAATTAGCTTGGAGGCCTTAAGACAGGGGTGTCAAACTTACATCGTCATGGTGGTGTCACATGATGTATTTGACTTTTTTCCTTCACTAAACTGAGCGTGAGCAGCACATGATGCATCCGGCCCACAGGCCGTGTGTTTGATAGCCCTGCCTTAAGGTTATCTGGGTTATCTAGAAGAGGGAAACCCTGTGAAAAGCAGCTTTTAAAGCCATCAATGAATATATCTTTCTTCTAAATTGTTTAAATTAAGAACTAAGGAATTTTTTTGACAGCTTTATTTGGATGACCAATCAGAATAGAAAGTCTGGAGAACTATGATTTACTCCTCATATTTATGTTGATTCCATATGTTTGTTCAACAATAAACCTGAGATGTGACCTAAAGTGGAGTTTTATCTTTAATTTTCTATTGATCTAAAATGATTGACTGGATCATTTTAATGATGTTCAGGATGAGTCTTAAAGAAGCAAATTCATAAGTTAGGACTGTTTACTCCTGTTTGGGTTTGCCCAAACAAGGACAAAAGACCTTTTGGCACAAAACAAAGTTTAACAGCTACAGTTCCTCTGAGATGGAGTAAACATGCTGACCAACAACCCCTAGAAAGGAATATTACAATGGACTTGACAAAGGAGCAAAGAGCTTGGAGGCACTTGGCATTTGTGCAGGAAGAGTTTTGTCATGTTTATCTTCAGATCACCTTATGATTGGATTGCTTTCCTGATTGTAGTCTTACATATTTTGAAGGATATACCCATTGCATGCAACTATTAAAGGTGGGGCCTACTTTTCTGCACCACTCCCACTTATGAAATACTTGCCCAGGTATTGCCAAGTTTTTTGCCAGGTATTTTATTGTTGAGTTGGTCTGGTTCTTTTTTTTCTTTGCATTTTAGCCACCTGGTATCCGAGTATTTCTCTTTTAAGTATTTATCTTATTAAGAGAATACTCTTAATAGTTGCTGGTACTAAATAACTATTACAATTTTGTGCCACAAAATTAAAAAACTGTCCTAAAATGTTTTTGAAGTCATGGCATTAATATATTACACAAAGTCTTATGTTCTTATTTTTCTCCCAGTACCAGATAAGAAACTAAGCAAGAAGACAAGTGCAGGCGGAGAACAAAATATCTTTATCGTCCACTTGATCCATTTTTGTTTTGATTTTTTTAAATTCTTTGTTCATTTTCCATCATTGCTTGTTGGATATTCTCTATTTTATCATTCATATTTTTGACATCCTCTTTCACTTCTCCAATTTCATTTTTAATTTCTTTATGGTGTATTTTCGTCTCTTCATGATTATCAGCAATTTTCTCATTAATGTTTCTTGTATCATTTGCAGCATACTCTGCATACTCTGACTATTCACTATCAATTCTGATTTTTCTTTTTCTTTTCCCAGCATATTTCCTATCATTCTCTGGTTTGATGGTGATGCAGCTATAGGTAGAAGATTTGTGGCTGATTTTTTCCCTACTTTTGTTATAGTTGCCGTGTTTGACATTTTTAACACTTGAGTAAAGTTCTTCCACAGTATCATACAACAAGTATTATCTAAATATTTTTATATACACATTCTTCTATATTTCTTATTTATTCTATCCACATTCTCCAGAAAATTTTATTCTATAAAGATTTATTTGGCAAACACAATGTCTATTTATATTTTCTATATATGAACTTATTCTAAGATTATATAATGTGTAATATAGTTATTAATATTCAATATATATTTCCTATCTCACTAAATCTTAGCCAGTATTTATCCTTATATAAGTTTATAAATAACTTTAATGCATTCACTTAATCTATAATTCATTAATTCATTAATCAATTACAATCTATTACAATTAACTCTCTCAGTTATTAATAATCAAATATATTAATTTTGTCTTTTTTTTACTTCTACAATTATACTTATTTTTATTTGTTTTCTTCTCCAAGCTGTTTCTTCTTATTAGTGTCTAATTGTGGGTATATGAGGCACTATTGCATCAGACTCATTCAAACCTTTAGTTCAGTCCCCAAATTCACCCACTCACTCTCTTCTTTCTTCTTTCTATACCTCTATATCTTCAATATCACAGTTTTTACAGTTAAGGTTATAGTTTAAGTCACAGCTCACAGTTACAGTTTTTCAAAGTTGTAAATCCTTTAGAATTATCTCCAACTGACAGCACTCATTTTTTCTATTCTCTTTTCTCCATTCTCCACTTCTCTCCGTCCTAGGAGTCCTATCACAATTAATGTTATTCCTCTTGTTTTATTAAATCCTCTTTTTGGGTTCTTCCTTGTTTTGTACTGACCTCTTTCCGATCCACCTCTTCCTTTTGCACTCTACTCCATTTTAGTCGCCACTTTTCCAGACCTGCTTTGCCCTTCTCTTTAGCATCTCACTCCTTCCGTGCCTCTAATTTGCAAAACATTTCCTTGCCTCCTTCTGGGTTTTCCTTGTCCACCAAACGAAACTGTCTTTTTCAATTTTCTGCCTCCTTATTGTGCAGCCGCCATTGCTCTTGCCCTTAAAGGCTGACTCCTTCTCCGCCAGATTTAAAAGGTTTGTTCTTATCCACCGGATCGATTGCCTTTTATCTGGGGTCTTCAGAACTTCCTCTTTAGTTTTCCAAGCTCTACAGAAAAGAGCTCCTGGTGAAGAATCTTCAAGATTTTGGGTACGGAGCTCCGTTCCCTCTCCCACTCTGTGAGGACATCACCACCAGAAGTCCTAGCTCGGCTTTTCATCCGACTACGAACAGAGCGGTGGAACAAGCGAACCCAATGGTGGCACAATAGATGCTATGTGGATTACCAGCAGGAAAACTGCCTTTTGCAGAAGTGGCTTACAACATCACTGTGCACAGTAGCACCAGATTGACCCCCTCCACACCAGCAGCATGGACTTTGTACCCATGCCTGAACTGCCCAGAGAGCCCCCCCCTCCTCTATGATCCTGACTGAGTGGATGGAGTCACTGAGGAAAGGCTGGGAAATACCAAGGAACTAGCGGAAGCTGCTGAAACATACAAAAAGCAAGCAGATAAACATCGATCTCTTCAACCCCCTTTTCATGTGGAAGATCGGGTTTATCTGTCAACAAAATACATAAGACTAAGGCTGCCTAGCAAAAAGTTAGGACCTAAATTTTTAGGTCCATTTCCAATAATGAAAGTAATTAACCCAGTGACAGTTCAGCTCAACCTCCCCCACTGTCAGGCTTGCTTCCATCCAAAACTCAAGAAAGAAAAACCCCAACTCCATGTTTGTACAGAAAGGTATTTTTACTGAGTATGAGCTGAATGCAGTGAAAGAAAAGCAAAGTCTGAGGCAATAGGCGTGAAAATTACATATTGAAAGCATCCCCCAAACCCCTCCACACACAGTCCCAGGTTGAATGTCCAATCCACATCTCCCCAAGGTGTTATGTGGTGTACTTCTTTAGGCGGTCCCATCTATCTGGTATGCTGGGATGGTTGACCTTGACAGTTATCAGCTCTCTCCGCAGCTGCTAAAAAGACAATGAGAATTTTCCTCCCTTTTCCGAGACATCTCCACCAGCTCACTTCCCCTGCCCTCCCAAATACCTACAATACCTCCCCCCTCCCATTACAATGGCAGCCAAAAGCAAGCAAGCATCATGAGGCTGACACCCGCATTCTAGGGAAAGTACATCCTGTTTTTCACTGTAGTTTGCTGAAGCCAGCCATAATTTCTAGGTTAAGAGCTCAAGCACCTCCCGAACCTATTGTAGTGCAAGGGGAAACCCATTACGAAGTAAAAAAGATCTTAGACTCTAGGTTGTATAGTGGTAGATTGCAATATTTAGTGGCATGGGGAGTGCTAGCCATCTATCCATTGCTTATTTCAGTTAATCATATTTATCATTATCCTTTTTATGACAATTTAACATTGAGACATGGTTCTTGCTTAAAACATAATTTTGTATATATTTAAAAATCTCTTTTAACATGCTTAATTTCTCTTATATTCTAATTTCCATCAATATTTCAATTTTATATATCTGTCATATTCTTCTCATATTCTTATGCATCCATAATTATCTTAGAAGAACCTCCTTTTTATTATTACTACCACCTATACATTATTTCTTTTTTAATCACATTGTTTTAACCTTTTTTTCTTTTTCTAGCCGTGTCTACCTCATTTCTTCACTTTCTCGCCTGCTAACATATATTTCCTTCCATTTTCAAAGTCTTCAAATTTTGCCCTCCATATGTCATATTAAGTCTTCTTCTTATTTTTAATCCGGATAAAATGCATCAAGTTCCCTTCTCTTTTTTTTTTTTTATTGAAAAAGTTTTCAAATACAAATTTTTCCCCCTTTTTTCTCCCCCCTCCTCCCTAACCCCCCCTCACCACCCGTGACTTCTTCAAAATAAAAACCTAATTCATAACAGATTATATAATATTTTACCATCCCCTTACTCCCTCCTCCAAATACTGACCCTTACTTTCTAATAATATTATTAATATTATTACTTCCCCCTTTTACCATACATTTCAAAATAACATTCTACTATAACATTGTATAATAACTTCTGATTTAGCACAGTAATATTGTTATGACTCCCAATTTAGTAATAATCTACCCTTTTTCCTCCCCCATACATATATCTACATATTAATATAACATTTCAAAACAACCTTCCACTTTAAAACTATATAATAAATCCTAATTTAACATTTACTCTTTTGTAACATTTACTCTTTTGTATATATTAATATAACATTCCAAAGCAGCCTTCCCCTATGAGACTATATAATAAATCCTAATTTAACATTTATTCAACTCTGTCCATTTCCTCCACTCCCGTAAATATATCTCTTAAACATCCCTGTTCTTAAACTAAACTAAACAATCATTAAACTAGCCTGTATCCACCCACATTCCTACAAAATTACCATGCGTAACAATTCTTAATATCTTTATTCTTCTGCCCACCCTACTAAAAAAAAAAATTCCCTTATATAAATAAAATCAATGACTTTAAATTTATAATCCATATAATATCTTCTTTGATGTCTTTCCACTGGATTGTTAACTCCATCACCCATATTAGGGTAACATAACATCCTGATTGCAACAGAATGTTCAAAATCCTCAGTTATCATCTGCCCCATCAATAATAAATATCTTCATGTATATAAAAAAAGAAAACCACCCGAGTGACATTATAATTGTATTCCATATAATATCTGAAATAGTGGATTTCTTCAGGATTATTGATTCCCACCATCATAATGGGGTAACAACCAGATCTTCTGCATGCCCCAGCATAGCTCTCTTGCCATGTAGCTCAGCATAAACATGATATATTTATCAAAAAAAAAAAAAGTCAAAATAGATAATTCCAGTCCGACAATTTAGGGCCCTTTTCACATCCCAAGATTACAGCATTGCAGAGATCTGTCACTCTCCTCAGGATAATATTAACCAATACTTCGCCTCCCCTATCTTTTCATGTATTCAGTCATTTTTTAAATAACTGGCTTCACTGTTGCCTATTTTAGGAATTTTTGTTTTTGTGAGATCTATTTCTTTTTTTCTTGACTTTTTGTGGGTTTGATCTCCATCCTAATCTCCTTTCTACGAATTGTATGTCGTCTGATCGGTTTTCATTCTGATTTATAACTTGATCTTGTTGGTTTTGCTTTTGTGACTCATATTTTTTTTCTATAAGTTGTGTATCAACTAATTGATTTCCATGCTTGTCTGTGACTTGATGAATCATCACGTTAGAATCCGATGCCACTTCTCTCTTATTTATAGATAATCCAGCTGAGGTGTCTCTAAAGAATCCAAAGGCGATTCATCTACAGAGGCCTCTGTAACTCAATATTTTTCCTTTATTTCCAACTCCTTCTGCTTATCTTGTGTTGTGCATAAAGATGTTGAGTTCATTTTCAAAATTTTTTGATGAAATTCTTCCGCTTTTTCAACAGTATTTAATTGGTATCTTTCTCCTTGATATCTCAATATTATACCAACTGGAGCATCCCACCTGAATAAAATATTTTGTTTTTTAAGCTCAGTCACCAGAAAACCAAATTTCTTTCTTTCCAATAACATCTTAGGTGGTAGCTCTTTGTATATCCAAATCTTTCTTCCAAACAATTGCAAAGTAGAATTAAAAGATTTTTGCACAATATTATTTCTTATTTCTTTATCTGTAAAATAAATCACCACATCTCTAGGCAGTTGCCTTTGCTTTGCAATCGAGGAATTTATTCTATAAACTCTGTCGATCCTACAAAATACTTCCTCAGGGTGAACCTTTAAGATCCCAGCCAGAATTTCAGAAGATATTTTCCTTAAGTCATCTCTGTTATTTTCCTGTAATCCTCTCAGTCTAATCGCATATTCAGTGAGATTATATTGCATCATTAAAACTTCTTTTTCAATCCGTTGTTTTATGTTTTCTGCATTACAAGTCTTTTGATCAGCTTCCATTTTAGGTTTTTCTTCTAAGCTATTGTCTTGGGTGTTTATCAAATCATTTTCAATTTTTTGTATTTTATTGTCCAAATTATCCTCAATTTCCTCCATTTTAGACTCTAATAAATTAATATTTGTATCCAACTTGATCATAATTTCTGAGAAACCATTAGTCACTTTTGCAATCTTTCGTTGCAAAGTATCAAACTTTAATTGCACCAATTCTTTAATTTCCTGCTTAAATTTTTCAAAGTTCTGATTCACAATCTCATCCCTTCTTACAATCTCCTCCAAGAGAAATTCAATTATATTAAAATCAGTTTTCTGAGACTGTAGGTTTAAAACTTGTTCATATAATTTGTAGATGGGGGAATCCCCCCCCCACTGCTTGTTTGTCCAGCTTTGTAAGTCTAAACGCCATATTTCCACACAGACAAGCTCTTTTAAGAAAGAAAAGAAAAGCAAAGAAAGGAAAAAAAAGCTTCTTTCCAAACAAGATCAATATCAAAGAGAAAGAGAAAACACAAAAGTGGAGCTTTATCTTCAATTGTAGCCAGGAGTATTTATTCCGCTACTTTGTAACTTAATAGGAGACGGAAGGACTTTCCCTTTCAGCCCCTTCTCAAGCCTCGGCAGTCGACATTTTAAAAATTCTTTTTTCCTTCTTCAGTAACTTTTATAAAATAAATGAAAATACTTGCGATTCAGGGTCACAGGTCCAGCTCTCATCCTCTTTTATTGATCTGTTAGTTTTCTTTAATAGGCTTGTTCTCGTCGCCTAGCTCTGCAAAAAGGCAGAGGTCTCCCAAAGCCCGGAGCGGCGGCGGGGCAAATAGGGAGCCTCATCTGCTTCATCCCCAAAAGTAAAAAAAAAAACCTTTTGGGGCTTCGCAGAGAGCTCTACCTACCCTCGCCGGCTCTATCTCGCATTTCCTCATGGAAATGGAGTTTTTCGAGCCGCCTTTCCATTGTAAAGGCGGCTTTTTACAGGCGATGGGGCTGGCGGTCCCGAGGGACCGTCTGGCAGCGACGAGGAGCAAACCGGAAGTCAAGTTCCCTTCTCTTTTTTTTTTTATTGCAAAAGTTTTACAATTACATTTTCACCCCTTTTTCCCCCCCCACCTTCCCCCCCAGATTTCCCAACCTCCCTAACCCTCCCTAACCCCCCCGTCCCCCCAGACTTCCCTATAATATACTCATACTCATAAAAAACCCTTAATATAACACTTATATATAAACTTGAACCCCTCCCTCCCCGTATAATTTTTCTCTTTACCTCATTACATTAAAATATTTCCAATACATTATTTTCAAATAAAAGCTATTTGATACTTTCTAGTTTGATATTTGTTCTGAACATATTCTATCCACCTTTTCCATTCCCATTCATAAGTCTCTTGTGAACAATCTTTTAAATATGCTGAAATCTTCGCCATCTCTGCAAAACTGGCCATCTTCAAAGTCCATTCCTCGATAGTGGGCAAAGCTTCATTCTTCCAGTATTTACCTATCAACAATCTTGCTGCTGTTATCATATACAATATCAATTTTGTTTCACCCAATGTAAAACCCTTAACTATACCCAATAAAAACAATTGTGGAGAGAATTGAATTTTTTTCTTCAAAACATTCTGCATGACCCACCAAATTTTTATCCAAAAAGCCTTAACTTTCCTACAGGTCCACCAAACATGATAATACGTAGCATCCAAACATTCACATCTCCAACATTTTGGCTGAACATTAGGGTACATACATGACAACTTTTTGGGATCTAAATGCCATCTATAAAACATTTTATAAAAATTTTCCCTCAGGTTCTGCGACTGTGTAAATTTAACATTCTGAACCCAAATTTTTTCCCATGTTTCCAACATCACTGGTTCTTCAAAATTTTGTGCCCACTTAATCATACAATCTTTAACTAATTCAGTTTCTGAGTCCCTTTCTAGCAAAACATTATAAAGCCTCTTAATATGCATTGGACCTTTCTCTCTTATATGTCTAACCAATTCTTCCTCGTGCAACATAATACCAATTTTTTGGTCCTC